AGCCTGCAACTACTTCCGCGCGGAATTAAAAAAAAGCCAAATTTTAGCAAGATTCAGCAGCCGTTCTGATGATACCTTTAAACAACAAACATCCATCCATCTTGACATTCGCAATTATAATGATTAAGATAGATAAAAAACACACACACAAAAGCTATAGATATAACTATTCATAACACAGCGAGTTATTCTACTAGGGTGCAGGATTACATTTTAGTTGTGACCTTTACATTAAAACCTTTAGAAAATTCTCTTTTAAGTGTAGGTGGAGTTTAATCGAGTGGTTGTTTACGCGAGGATCGTACCTGACCTGTGCTTTTCATGCAAAAGTAAGTATTAATAGCCGTTCACTTTAGGAATTATTTCAAATAGGTTTGTAGGTTAACGCACCACACCTGCCATTGTGACGTTTAAAGAGTTAAAGAGTTGTGAGTTGGTCAAATTTCTAGTTTTTTTTTCAATCTAGACATATATATTGACGTATTTTATTATTTTGGCTCTGACGAAAATTAATTTTATGTGAATTGGATTGGCTTCTATTATGCTATCTTTTTTATTGTTTATTTGTGTTACGTTTCAATTGTTTGAATTCTAAAAAAAAACTTTCAGTTCATTATTCCACTTTAGTCGCGAGCTGACGCATGTTAGCCAAAATATAGTAACTACAAAGTGATAAGTCGTACGATATTGTTTCGATGAGTTTATGTCACGCACGTGCGATATCCTGAACCATTTTCGTGTAGGGCTATTATCAAAGTTATGATAAAATTTATCGCAAAGGGCAACCTAATCTGATTAATCCAATGTCGATGGATAAAACATATAGACGAATTGAGAACCTTATTTTTAAATTGGTTAATAAATGGTTTTCATTGTTGAAGTAAAAAAAGAGATGTTCATTTTAAAGATTCTAGGTTTGAATGTCGTAGTCAGTGATATAACTATAACTAATTCTGAAGCTATTGATCGCCTCTTACTGCGAGACTGTTCACGTAACTATAGCTAACAATTGTTTGTATATAACCGTCTGTATGTAACGCTCGGAAGAATTATAAAAATACATGATGTAATATACATAGTATTATTTTAATTAGAGCATTCGTTTGATATCATAAGGTGGGCTTCCGCTGTCTAAGCACTTGTATAAAAACATATTGTCATTTCCCTCATTCTTAAAGATACAATTATGTTTTAAAACTGAGAACTTCGTCGTATCAAAATTGGGATATTCCACTATATAACACCCATATCAATTGTAGGTATAAAATTTTATTACCAAACAACTTTATTTTGAAGAAATTACGAAGCAATTAATTTCACTAACATCTAAGTAAGTAACCTTCAGGCGAGACGAGCGAAATGTTTTGAATGACCTTGCTTGGCAGACGCCACGCCACGAGGAATGCTTCCAAATAGTTTTGCACCTGTCATTGAAATACGCTGCAAGCAACTGGCAAACTCCGTAGAAATAACACTTCATTTTGTTGAATAAATACTTGAAATTTAATGTCCAAAGCATAATATTAATATCTACAAAACATCTATCTTACTAATATTAATAATACGAATGTTTGGATGGATGTTTGTTCATATGTATCTCGCTGAAAATTGACATATATAGAACACAGCAAGAATATATAGGTTACTTATTAACTTCTTTTTTTTAATTCCGCGCGGAAGGAGTCGCGGGCGACAGCTAGTAATCATGTAAAATCATGTTAAATGTCCAACTAGTGTTAACGAGTGTATTTAACTTGGTAATATTATAAATGTGTAGTTGTGTAGTCGTATAAAAATGAATTTAATATCGGAAATTATTGTTTAATTAATTGGTATGCTGATAGTGTGTTTTATTATCATTCCTTACAAAAATATCAAACAATGTGATGTTTGAATTAACTTGGCATATCCATTCTTTTAATAACTACACTATATAAAACAACAAATGAAAATATTCAATTTAATCATTAAAATTTTCTATTAAAGTTGTATATTGTAATTCGTCTATGCAAAGCTGTCTAGCTAAATAAGACTTATACGTAAAAATATGTTTATCTACACAACATTCTAGCTATAAAATTGAATACCACGTGGATATTAAAAAGCAATAAAATACATTGTTCAACCATCGATAACTTTAAACTTTCACAACTCTATTTGCGTCATTTAATTAGACAAATTCCTTGAATGTAATAAACTTTGTATTAGGTTATAACCTCGTTTGTAATTTCATTTTCATATCGATACCGACCATACAAAATGCAATTCAAATTGAACCTTATTGTCCTAACTATGAGATATATAATGCGGTAATAGAATATTGTTAATAGTGATGTACAATGTGGTTATTGTCGTTTTGTTATCGAGTGGTCTGTATGAGCGCGTGTTCACTAAACAAGCAACGCCTATTCATTTATGAAGCGTAACAATTGAAAGAAACAACCAGACAATTGTCTCAATAGACATGTTCGCAATAAAAGTTGCTATTCTTTACAATTAGATATGATGCTAGGTACTAGCTTTTAATAATGTTATTTGAATTATTTACTGTTGGTTTCTGAACAAAATATATCGATATCCCTATTATATATTTTACAAAACAGGAATAACAATAGGTTTAGCTTGGATTTTGGTTTAATAAACCAATGATAACAATGTTACGATAGTTTATCTCGTCTTAGATTAGTTTAGACTTTTAAAAATCGTATCTTTGACGCAAGAGAACTTGCGGATAATAACACAATTGGAACCATTAACAAAACATGTTGCTATCTCTGTCATTTTATTTAATAAAAGAGAGATAACAATATCGGTTTACATGTTTTGATAGTAGAATTTCACAGTAAGTGTAATAGATTGAAATTCCAGCTTCTACATACATATAAGCTGGTAAATTCTTTACAAGATTTTTGCACATCTGTATAGATTCAAGCATTTATACTTCCTTAAACGATTACTACAAATATATGTATAATGTGGTGAAATATGATTTTTATATACTTAACACAAGTTAAACGAATCACGTTTTCATCCCTCGATATTCCAGAGTTATAGCGTTTTGGGTCACGTTGCCAACATGTTCCGGGTCAAGGTTTCACTCTGATTAACTTGTTGACAACATTCGTAACAAGAAAGACTATTAATAATACGAATAATTAAATTTTATTGTTTATATTTTATTTGCGGTACCGCAGTGGTAAAGGACATAAGTCGACGACTATGGTAGATCAGACATTCGATTTTATTTGGACCACCATATTAGATATATAGAGACCAAAAGTAGCCATGTGTTCTTCCAGACTGTGTTCTATGGTTATACCGAAATTCATCAAGATCCATACAATGTCATGCCTTCTTACATCTATCCATCCATACATACAAACATTCGTATTTGTAATATTAGTAACCGTGGGTTTCTGAAACCGTATACTCCATTTATACAGAGATTTTGGTGTCTGAAACCCACGGTAAGTAAGATGTTAGGGTTAGGCAATGAATTGTTTGTTTAAACAATTTTTAACATCTTGATTGAAGTGTGTTTCTTGGCTTAGATATTATTTATGTTAGTACACGTGTATATTTTTGCGTTGGCAGCTTGTATGACTTATTTTTCCTGTTGTTTATAGTTTAGGTTATTTTCTATATATTTCTTATCTGTGTTTTAGTACATTCTTTTGATAATGACAGTTAATTAATTTAAATAGTCTGTGGTTCGTAATTCAGTTAACTCTACTTTACCGCTTTTGATAAGCTTATATATTTAGGGTAATAGGGTAAATTAAAGAGGAATTTTATGTAAATTCTTATCTTTTTATTTTTTCAAAATAACAATTACGACACGCATCGTCGTTTATTAAAATGTATTTAGGTGACATTTTAAAATGTAATTTAAAAGTGGTGACAACGGAATTTTTAATAGACTCGTGTTAATGTAAAAATAAATGTCGTTTTCTTTGTCGATTTGTTTATCTATGTAAATTTTAATGTAACTGATCAATAAGTGTTTTTGTTTGTGGTTTGTTTATGATGTAGCCAGACCTTTTTTTAATGTTTTAACTGTTTCTTTCTTTTAAACTTTTACGTTGCTAACGGTAATACGACTCGTATATTGCCACCCGTCTACATAATACTTTCTCGTTTGTCTCTCCTAATGCACAAAATTGTTCAACATTATAAAACTATCTAGCGGATGTCCGCGACTCCGTCCGCGCGGAATTTAATAAAAACATTATTGGTAGCTTATGTGTTCGTCCAGACTATGTTCTATGTGTATGTCACTATACGTTCAGCCGTTCATTATCAATATACGTTCAGCCGTTCTGGAGATATCTTCAAACATTCATCCATCTAAATATTCGCATTTATATTAGTAAGATGATCTTTAGTACAAAATTAATCCTCTTGTGGAAATATAAGCTTATGAGTCATCGTGCAATTAATTTGTGTAAATAAGTTAACTTCCAAATCACGCCACGCCGGGTTTCATGTTTGGCGGAATAACAAAATGGCGATAATTTGTATTATGATCTTTGGAATTCGTTTTGCTTACTTCGTGCAAATAAATGTAAAATGAAAAAGTAATTTATGGTAAAATTCGGTTTGTAAGTTTACAACGTGAATATTTCAAGACTGTAAGTAAAAATAATTAACTTTATTAGTAGCGTAAATTGAGGTTAGGTTTAATAAAGTTTCTATACGCGGTGTAATGATCACAAGGACGTTGGTGTGCGTAACGTAATGTAAAAAGAGCCGTTATCAAAATGGCGGCGCCCGGCGACCGACGCCAACGGGCGGTCGTTGACGCGGCGAGTCGTTAGCGTGGCGCGTCTATTGATTTCGTCTTTCCTAAGAACATACAGCGCCATCTAGTAGGCAGTGGATGAAAGTTAAATTTAGTTTATTCGATAGATGGCGTTTTAGCAACTTTAATACACAGAACTTTTATTGATGTATTTGTTTTCCAATAAATATTTTAATAATGTTTGTTTTATTGTTTTCAGTGCAAAGACTTTGAGAAGGTGGGGGCGACGATAGCAGTGACGCCGTGCGATGTGGTGGAGGAGGCAGACATCACGTTTTCTTGTGTCGCCGACCCTCAGGCCGCTAAAGAGGTACAACATTCAAACTATATGTCTGGACAGTATAATTCTAATCTTAAGGAAATGATTTGGTTATAAAGGATTGGAGACAAAGAATCGAAACAGAAATATCCCTTGTCTCCTCTGTCATCAATAAAAGGAAGATGACTCCAGGTGCTTGTCGGGTGTTATTTTGTTGTGTTCATATTACCAAAAAAACTTGTACATAAGCCAGAAATATAACATTAGAAATCAATAAGATTATAGTCAATGTCTGAAGACTTTAACTCGATATAAAAGGTCAGATCGTTTAGCGACGTAAGGCTGTGACCTGTCACAAGACTTAAATATCTCTTTACGACCTTTATATTGAAACCTTTTCACCCAACACAGATTATTGCGATTCATTCTTACGTAAAATATTCAACTTATATTTTCACTAGCTGTGGTCCGTGACTCCATCCGCAAGAAATTAAAAAAACCTTAATAAGTAGCCTGTGTGTTCTTCCAGACTATGTTCAATATGTATGCCAAATTTCATCAAGATACGTTGACCTGTTCCGGAGATACCTTCAAACAAACATCCATCCATCCATTTAAAGTTTATAGATGCCAAAGTAACATTTGTTACTTTACTTTATTTAGCTTCATGAAACAATATAATAAAGTAGCAATTTAGAAAATTCTACTTCTATAGATGTTGGTATGGGTCAAGTATTAAAATTGTATCGACCTAAGAACACAAATACGGGCGTTAGACCAGGGCGCGGATAGTGGACCGCCCAGGGCGTTGGACAGAAAGGCGGGCAAACACAGTGTTACTTCTCCCCTGTTGTATTCGTGTGTCTGATAACGAATGTTATTGATCTACTTTATTGTCGTTTATCAGATGGTGTTCGGGAACTGCGGCGTGCTGCATTGCCCCTCGCTGGAGGGCAAAGGTTACGTGGAGATGACCTCCATTGACGCCGACACCTCGCACGACATCGTGGAGGCTGTCAGCGGCAAGGGCGGACGATATCTGGAGGCTCAGGTACATTCGCAGAAATTAATATAAAAAAACAGGATGTATAGTAGTTATTCGAATCTATCTTCTATACTTGTACCAAATCTTAACAATATATGTCATATACATAACCAGTTATTGAATATATATGCAAATTAAACGTATTCCTAGAACCGTAAATCTTTCCTGGACCATAAATAGGGGTTATGTTCTTGAGATATCTATCTATCCATACATTAAAACATGTGTATATATAATGTAAGTAAGATAGAATGTGTTGTACACGTGCAGATCCAGGGTTCGAAGACGCAGGCGGAGGAGGGCACGCTGATCCTGCTGGCGGCGGGGGACCGCTCGCTGTTCGACGACTGCCAGTCCTGCTTCAAGGCCATGAGCAAGAACTCCTTTTACCTTGGTAGTAGTGCGCCGCTCCAATTTATACAACAACAACAACAACAACAACAACACAACAACAACAACAACAAAACAACAACAACAACAACAACACGATAACACACGCTTCCTACATTCATCACATAATAATCAGTGTATAGCAAATTCACATTCTTTTTTGTTCAATGTTGGAAAAGAAAATTATTAAAGAATTAGCATTTTATCCGAAGAGTGACATCACGGAGGACTTCTTACGTCTAATATTCTGGATAAGATGTGATATAATAATAGGAATGCACGTTGATTTCTTGTCACTATTTAATTAAGCACCAGCTTCTCAGCTACTCTGTCCGCGTGGATTTAAAAAAAAGTTCATTAGTAGCCTATGAGTTCTTACAGATTATGTACTATGTGTATGCCAAATTTTACTGAGATCCGTTGAGCGATTCCTGAAATAACTTCAAACAAACATCCATCTATTCACCTCTCCAAACATTTGCATTTATAATATTAGTAAGGTAGTAAGACTAGTTGTTTCTCCGTGGTATTGTGATGTGATATGTTGTGCAGGTGACATCGGCAACGCGTCGAAGATGAACGCGGTGCTGCAGGTGGTGGGCGGCGTGTCGCTGGCCGCGCTGGCGGAGGGGCTGGCGCTGGCTGACCGCGCCGGCCTCAGCCAGGCCGACCTCCTCGACGTGCTCGCCCTCACCCCGCTCGCCTCCCCGCATCTCATACTCAAGGGACGCGGTCAGTCAAACCTCTAACTCTATGCCCGCCCGCCTGCATCGGCTACCTTGCATTCAAACTTACATTCAAATCGATCTAGGCGTGAGTTATGTTGTAATATTTATAAAATGTTCGTTTCCACAGCGATGATAGAATCATCATATTCGACGCACCAGCCGCTGACGCACATGCAGAAGGACCTGAAGCTGGCGCTGGGTCTGGGCGACGCGCTGGAGCAGTCCTTGCCGCTCACAGCCACCACCAACGAGATCTTCAAGCACGCCAAGCGCCTCGGCTACGCCAACCACGACGTCGCCGCCGTCTACATCCGCGCCCGCTTCTGATGCACCACCTCTCAGCATATACCACCATCCCTCACCATCTCTCACCACTTCTCATAATCATCGTGTCTCACCGCACGCCAGAAATAATGTAAGGGTACAGTGATGATCCGCGACTATATTCTAATGTTTCTGACGTTGATGGAACTAAAAGAGCAGTCTTAGTAGACTTGTTGTTGGTTTCTGAGATCAAAATCTATGTATAAAACATATCATCATCCCTCTCATTATCTTTGATAAATCAGAGATAGTCATTGTAGTTTTAAACAGGGATTTTGGTCTCAGGAAGCAACGATTAGATAGGGAAGGTTTCGAGAAATCTTGAGAATGTTTTAAGGAAAAATTTATAAATAAGCTTCACTATTATTGTCAATGGAATTTTAAGCTATGATCCTAAAATCTTTTCTTCGTTAAATCCCCTCCAAAATATGATGTATCCCTCTAAATACTGAATTTATCACAACTGTAAACTATTTCATAATAAAAATAATTGTGTGTATTCAATTTTAATCATAGAATTTGTGCTAAAATTAGAAATAAATATATATTTATATGTATGTAGTTATATCAACTCTCATTTAAATAACATAAAAGATCTAGTTGTACCGTTAGTGACTTATTAATATTTCAAATGTATAAATAAGTTTTTTTTTCTATATAATGTAAGAGTAGAACAACAGATACGAGATACTGAACCAACGATATTATAATAATAATATGTTTATTATTTTTATTATCTAGTTAATTGATTTAAATATAAAATTGCACTTTTAATTTACAACATCGTTATGTCAAATATAAAAAATGTATATGTAGCATGCTCTTTAGTTCTTTAAAATTCAAATTTTGTAAAAACAAAATATATGTAGCACTGTGTTGACATAGTAATCTAATTAAAATCAAGCTTAAATAATGTGGCAATTATGTAAATTATATTAATAATACATATTCTAAGGAGGCATAAATGACGTGAGGTGTAAAGGGGGTAGTGGGGTCGAGTCAAATCTCACCTAATCTTACGTTGGAGAGAGGGGCGGTGTCTCGGCAAATATAACGCATTTTTTTCTGATTGAAACAAAAAAATATACTATTTTGGTCCATTTAATCGTATAATACATAAGAAACTCACATTTTAAAAAATCTCCCGTGAGATTGGGGGATGGGTGAGGGGGTTGAATGAAATGTCACATCTCACCAGAGAGGGGCAGAAAATTAAAAAAAAACAGCTCACGTAATTTATGGACGCCACCAAACTGTATAAGAAAGCTTATTGCTCCAGTTTATTTTGTCTGTTGGTACTTTAAAATGGATTTCATTCTCATTATCTTTAATAAAACGGTGAAATTTTATATGATGGCCGTCAGTTGCGGATTGTCTTAACATTGGTTTCTGAGACCACAATCTCTATATGAATTAATCGTCAACCTTGTCATTAATTTGCTATAATAGAGATAACAATATGTTTAAAATGAGATTTCCGTCTCAGAAACCCACTGTTAGTTATTTAGTAGTGAGTTAACAGCAGACGTGTCCCTTACATTAAGACCAATTTAATAGTTATTCAATAACAGTACATTTTTAAATTTTAATATAAGATTTATAATAAGCCGTGTTGCGTTTACGTTTTTTATTATCAGTAACGTTACGGTAAATGTGATGAATCCGGTATATTGTTAAATCACCAGCTTTATATCATAAATAAAGTAAAAGATTCTGATTGAATTCTATAATAAACTAGATGACGCATCAATATTCAAGAATTTGTTAATATATTAGCCGGTTGTTTTTATTTCCGAATTAATTTCATTTACCGTAACATAAACATAGATTCTCTTACAAAAGGTTTGCAACACCAAAGAGTTTGTAGTTGCTGTACCCTGTAAAATGTGGATAGAAAATATTATAAGGGGACCTTAAACTATGTGAGAATCTATGTTAAAATCACTGACCTCTAACTACTGGACAGGCGATATTTCAAAATATCTTTTAAGATTTTAAAAAAATCTCTTACCGTTGGCTCCTGAGACTAAAATCTCTATCACAAAAAACATATCGTCATTTCTGTATTTCTTCTTTGATAAAAACAGACATAATAATATATTTTAAACTGTGTTTTGGGATTCAGAAATCCGCGGATAATATTCCTGACTAATTGTCGTAATCCTATAAGTTCAAATTTACAACACTAATAACTGTCAGCGTCAAATTGGCGATAGTCAAATAGGCACAAAATATAACGTCTCATAGCCTGCCCAGTTGCAAATAGAGGTCAGTGTTTTAAAATATCTTTATAATGTTTATTTTGTAAGTTTTTGACAGTCCCAGAATTGGTTTGACAGGTTTTTGTAACAAATTATTAAATGGCTTCATATATTTTCGTAGTTAATTATCAAAATAATTAAGTTATCGTTTAGGTTTATTTAACAATAGACAATATGAACACTGTGGTTGTAATTTCTATCAGTTTATGTTAAATTACTAAGTATTTTTTCTTTCCTCGAATCATTTTGTATTTATCACTTTCAATATATATTCAAATTGTTGTTTTGTCTCAATTTTTTTTTGTAATTTCAATGTAACAGTGATACTGTTAATAAATCGACGCCTTTATCATTGTTAATATATTTTAAAGTACTGAAATAAAAGTATTTTTAGTGATTTCTCGTAGTTTTATTATACTCCTTGACTAACATAATATAAAGTTTGTGTTGCAACACTAACCGTGGGTTTCTGAGACCGAAATACCTTGTTACCACTGTTTTGTCAAAGATAATTAGAGGGACGTCGATCTTTTCTATACAGAGATTTTGATCTCGGAAACCAACAGTAAAATCATTACTAAAAATATATGCCACAGTTTTGACCAAGTCGATTGAAATAAATTGCCAAATTTCCAAAAACACTTACCAGCCCACAATACTGTCATATCATTAAAAAGTTTTCAAAAATCACCTAATTTCTCCATGTTTAAATCTTATCTTAGTAATATTACTAACTTAATAACGACAAAACGTATCTAGATGAAATATGGAAGAGATAGATGACATTCTAATAGTCTAAGAGTTTTTTTTTCAATCCCCAAGCAAAGTCGAGGGCAATAGCTAGTAATAGAATAAACAAACTTTCTTCTTCACTGCTGAGTTTTAATCACAATGTAGTCGTAACCTTCTACACTGTTCCAGATAAAAGATAATAGCGTTTGCAGACGGGATCGATGCGGGTTTACGACAAATTAGCGGTTTGTCTAAAAATAATGTACGATCCGCAGCAACGGGTCACGACGCGCCAATAAAAATGTACCTACTATATAACATTGGTAAGGTCGGATTGTCATAACGAGGGTTATAAGCCAGGGGTACGCAACATGAGGTATTTTTAACAGACCAATAAAAAATAAGGTGGAATTGATTACATTCTTTTTGAAGTCAGCAAAAAAGACTGTTTTCAATCTGATTTTTTTTACTACTATCATCAGACTAGTTAAGGAGTTAAAGTATTTGACAATATGAAAGTTGTATTGAATTCGGTAAATGTTACGAAAGTCCATTGTTTGAAACTTGAAAGCGGTTAGGAACTATGTGATTGATGAGAAAGGCTAATCTAGTAAAACACTGTTGGCTAACAATTAGCTGTATTAGTAAATTTTTAAGTAAAATAACTTCCCTTGTTAATTTCGTTTTGTCTTGTGAGTTCTTGGGTATGATTAGAAAAGGTTTTTGTATGCCGTTAAAAATGTTTATTACCTCTGCTTAACATAACATGCAATGCCGCAATAACTCGTAACTTTATGAAAGAAAACTTCTCAGGGAAATTAGAAAGAAAGCCAGTTGTAATGGTGGATTCGATTATAACCATTTATCGAAAACTGATTCCGAACGTTTTTCAAATGAAACATAATTAAAAAAAAAGGTTTGACTTCCATGATGTAATTTGTCAGTGCTCTTTTGACATGTGAAATTTTTGCTTTTATTATTTTTATATTTTGTATCAAATTGATTTTTTTTATTGTTTTGGATTTAAATTTATAATAATGTCGTTTCTTACTGAATATTTCGATGAATATCGCCAGCATCCGATCAAGAAAACTAAAATGTAAGTAGACTTTTAAATTAGAATTTATAAAGGCGTAATTTCGATGCCCTTTTTAATTTAGTTTGAAGGGGTTAATGGGTCTATCCCTTTATACAGGTGCCGGCCGGAGAATCGCTGGGCGACACTTGAGGGCAAATGGCTGGATCCAAAAAAGGGCACAGAAGATGTTAGTATAATGAAATTATTTCTAGGTTACGAAAATCCTGATATATCTCATCTTCTAAACTAATTTTATCGATGGTTTGGCTTTAGTTAGTAAATACTAATTCACGCTATTGATTATTGTTTACCTATATTCTAGACCATTACATAAACGATTAGTTCTTTTTTACAGAAAACTTGGACCGATGAAGAAATTGAACAGTTCATAAAGGACACGATGAGAAGACTCCGCGGGCAGTCTACGTACTACAATGATTTCTGCGCGCATCTTTCACCTGGTAATTTTATATTTAATTACTTATTTACTGTAACATACAAATCTAAGCATGTTTTAGTGTATCTGGTAACTTAACACATGGGTTTCTGAGACTAAAATCCCCGTTAAAATATATTGTTATCTCTGTTCTGTCAAATGTAATGACAGGGATAACGATATGTTTTATACAATGATTTTGGTCTCAGAAACAAACGGAATTTTAATATACTCCATATTAAAATTCCGTTTTAAGTAAAAATGTTCTAATATCTTTTTCTTACTAATGCTTAGTTTATTGTTCTTTCTTACGTTTTTTTTTCAAAAATGAGTTTTTCGATTATACTATTTTATTTCTTTAATCTGTAGAATTCAAAACACGTCCCTTCAAGCCTCGCGTGAAGAAGCTACGACCTTGCGGGGAGAAGGCTGAGGTGGTGCAGGAGGAGGTGCGGCCGCAGGGGGAGAAGTTGGCCATGAAGGATACAGAGCTGATGAAGGTGGCCCGCGACATGTACGAGGCTCCCCCGCGGCCCACTCTGCGCCCTCTGCCCACGCATTACAGAAGTTAGATATTGTTTAATTACGGCCCTTCGTAAACAAGGCAATTTAAATCATCCAAACTAATATTGTACGGTTTCGTCGCGAGCTTCGTATATACAATATTGAATTGTCGACTCGAATCGTCTGTTTAGTTAGTAGAGGCATAGCGACTACATATCAACTACTACAGCAACTTTTCTCACGACGATCTTAAACTGTCTCTGATAGACTGTCTTTGACAATGACATATAGAAATGTCTGCGACGCGCGCTGTGTACGAACAAACGTCAAGTCGCTTAGCGACTGAACTCGGATATCGATGATTTACGATACCTTGTGTATGAAGGGCCTTACTGATTTGTTCAAACTTAGCGTTTAAGTATCTGCGAAGACTTGTTTTCTATTTATATTATACTTAAACTCTTGTAGTTATGTAGATATTTTCAATGTATATCCTTTAGTCTAAGTTTAAGTGTGTATGTATATTGGAAGTAAATGTCGATGTAAATTAATGTTTAAACGTTATTTAATAGTTTTCATTAATCGACTTGTTTTTATCAACAATAGCAGTTAATTTAACACAATTTATCTTGTAGTTTAAAACGTATAAAGTATATGATATAATAAACGTAATAAAATTAAATTAGTTTCTTTTCACCTAAAAACAATGAATTTTAACAGTTTTGGGTTACGTACGTCCTACAAACTACAACACTGGTCGCAGCGATTACCAGGAGGGCATAGCTCGGCTGGCTTACGAGTTGGTGAGAGACGATCGCATCCCGCGCTATGAGGCGCACAACGGCTGCCGGCCGCGCTGGGGCTTGCCGCCTGAGGGGCAGAGACAACCAGAGCTTGATATTGTTCCCTTCGAAGAAGAAAGACTCTACTGATAAAAATAACTTACAAACAAAAGGCGGTTTCATTGTTATATGTCACCTTCAAATTGAGGATCCAGTCAGTTTTGTAATTTGCCCATGAAAATCGTTATTTGTTTGCCTTTTACCATAAAAATCACAACTTAATAAATAATATAAATGAATGCATACCACAAATTCCTCTCCCTAATGTTTATGATTAACATAAACACATCTTTGATTAGCGAAGTGAGGTGCTAATGAAAACAGAATGTCAATTTGAAGAACAAAAGGATATAAAGTTGTAAGGAAACTGTTCGTCTAACCGTGTTTTCATTGACGAAACACCAATAAAAACATCTCGGTATCTCTGTATTTTTAAGTACGTGGAAAGGGATGGGAATATGTTTTTGTTAATGTTTGTCGGCAGTGGAAACTGGAGAATGAAACAGATCACAATACGCGTGTAATAAAAATGGTAGTGACATGAAATGCATTTGGCTTCCCGCCAAATGAAATGCGCACAACAGACCCCAGCCCTTTGTTAAACTCTAGTGATGCTCTGATTAAAGTATCGATGAAAACTTTAGGTAACACTTAAGTACTGAAATTTCTGTGTAAAATATTTCCTTATCCCAGTTTTATTCAAAGAAAACGAGATAAAGGGAAATATGTTTTATATATAGGTTCCTTAATTGTTCCATCCGGAATGTTGGAATTTGTGCCGTGGACTCGTCGAAGTCGTATTGAAAGGCACAAAGACAATGTTATATTATTTATTTAATACAAGGAAAACTAAAAACATTGTTTTCAAAAAAGGACATAAAATAAAAATCTTTACAATCTTGATTCTTTGTTTCCGATTGTTTGATATCGATATTAGTACAACACTATTTTCGAATCGAGTATCTTCGTTCCCGCAAATGTTCATTTTCGTGGAATTTAATTGAGTAATAATTAAGTTTCTTTGTATTGATCTTGATCGGATTAACATTTAGTTGAGAGAACAGTGGTAGAGTTTGCAATGAAGACATCTTTTGATCCGAATGTTTTTCAACATAATACCAGGATCTCATAGAAACTTCTAGAAGATAGGATTGAAATGAAAATATTTTGCGTTTCGTCTGATGATAGAATTAATAACCCTTTGTTAAAAAAAGAAATATTCTTTTATACATTTTTAAATACTAAACTTATTTGTTAGAGTTCCATAGACCCCAAGCTTTTTGTCTGTGGAGAATTTTCACTGCCGAAATTTAAAACCCTTTATGATGCGTACATATCTTACTAATCTTACTAATATTATAAATGCGAATGTTTGAATGGATGTATGTTTCTTTGAAGTTATCCCCGGAACGACTCAATGGATTTTGATGAAATTTGACACACATATAGAACATAGTCTGGAAGAACACAGAGGCGAGTTATTAGTTTTTTTTAAATCACGCACAGACATAGTGCTGGCGATAGCTAGTTTTCACAGTATAATCAAATAAATAAGCTTGTATGCATTCTCAAGCTTCAGATATACGTGTGACGTCAGCAGACGACGACCCCTGGCAGATAATGAATCCAACTCTTTTGTATAACAATGCAAAGAGCCCTAAGATGAATGGTTTCATTTAATTTGGCATCAAGTGTATCTGAAACGTAACTCCTGTAATGAGACGTGCCATCTGCGAACTGTTGTAAGAAGTAGCAGTCTTTTGAAGGCCTATTCACTTGAACATGTTAGCTGCCAGAATGATTTTTCGAAAAACGTTTTTTTTTTATTTTGTCCAAAACCATTTTGAATGGGGCCTTGCAGGTCACGCTGTATACAACAATTCGATTAAAAAGCGTCCGACAAGCCACAGCGGGGTGTTGAATGGAAGTATGGCTTATCGGAAACAGTCCCACGCGGCCTGATTGAAACATTACCTTGTCGGACATATAGTCCGACATGGCAGCTAATGTTAATACTGAATATATATTCGTTAAAACACAATGGGTCTTTTGATGAAATCAAATACTTATTTTTCCAATGAGTTTTTTCTGCAGAAAGTTCTATACAGAGACTATGTATTTATAGGATAAGATAAACTGACCGTAATAATTATTCAAAGTAAAACATAATTAAGTAAAGATGCAGCTTTAAATTATATGTGACTAGCCGTAAGTTTCTCAATCCAAAATCTCTGTTTAAAACATATTGTTGTCTCCGTTTTATCAAAGAAAGTGACAAGGATGACTATATGTTTATACAAAAATTTAGATATCAGAAACCCACGGTAAGTCGTACGAATTTGACATTTATACAGTTAGTTACGACTTAGAGTCCTTCAAGAAGTGAGCTTATCACCATCTCAAAGGCCGGCAACGCATCTGCGATTCCTCTGGTATTGCTGATGTCCATGGGTGTCGTTGAACACCTCGGTGTTCCCGCTGCCCCTTCTGTTATAAAAAAAAAGTTACAATGAAAACCTAATGAAATATAACATATGAAAACAACAATATAACTAACGCTCGTAACCCGGAGAGGTAGGCAGAGACCATGGACCTCTATTTAGCGCGCTCCTGTCACCTCTTGCTACTTAAGATAATGACTATCATAACGTAATTAGAATCATCCTGAAAATTGCAGCATTTCGTTTAATTATAACACTCTTTGTCGGGTCAATGAACTTTGATACTTTAAATAAGCAGAAATTCAGCAATAAAATTAACGTTGTGGTTACAAGTGTATTTGTAATAATCCTTTGATTTATCCGTTTTAACATCATAACTCAATTAACAAGAAATGTTATCCGTTTGTTTGACTTTTTTTCGTATTTAAATGTCACATTTAATTTGATAATTCATTTATCATACATTAAGGAAGTGATATAAAGATAATTTATGGGCATTTCAAAGAATTAAACTTAAAACAATCAGTCATATAAAATGTTTAAGTATAAGACTTTAGCCACTGATATGTGTAAATGGATAGGTGTTTGCTTGGAAATTACAGCTTTTGTTTCATTCCGACTTAAACGCGTCTGTCGATGTTAAGAACAGTTAATTCTATTTGCATTTTTAGTTCGAATTCTCACCACCGTCACCACCCGTGAACGACAGCGCCAAGATGGCGTAAATCAAACAGACACAAAATGTCAAGTTATATGGCCTATCCATTTATATAGTAGCTGTAGCATATTTCTTTTTCTACATACACAAGATTGTTGTTTGCCAGTCCCGAAACACTCGTACCTGTCATCTCGTTCAATCTTTTTAGTTTGTACTAGTGTTTTGGCATAGGACATCTACGCTAAGAGTTATTTACTAATATTATGAATAGAAATGTTTAGATGGATGGATAATTTAGTCCTCTTTCCCTTTCCACCCTTTTCCTTATAAGGAAAGGATGGGAAGTGGAAGTGGACTTTCCGGATGAGAGGATGCATGGGAAGGGAAATATTTTCTTTCTGTGCACAGAACCTTTAATCGATCGGTAGGCGATTTCAGGTGGCAGCTCGCAAATAAAAAAAAATGTTTGAAGGTATCTCCTGATCGGTTGAATGGATCTCTATGAAATATGGCATAGATGTAGAACACAACCCGGACGAAGACATAAGCTACTAATTAAGTTTTTTTTTTAAGAAGACGAACTCGCGGGCGACAGCTAGTCTATAAAAACTTAACCAATATACGAATCGCTAATGAACCTGACACAAATATAGTTATGATCAAGTCAACATTTGTTTGTAGAATTGTGTTTTATTGTAAGATTAGTGTGTTTCAGGATTATTTATATTTTTCAGTCTCATTCACCTGAAAACCTTTATAGAGTTTCTGTGAAATAATTAAGCTTTTTCCTTATTGTAAATAGTAGAACGATGAGTCTGCAAGTTCGTTAAACACATTTATATATTTATGTTCGTATCAATTAATCTACTTAATAAAATGCCACAGATTCGGATAATTAAATTACAGATAAAATATTTACGTATTCTGACGCAAAGAATATATATTTCTAAAGTTTTTCCAATTAAAGTCTGATTCATGTTATAACAATGATAGTTTTAAGTTATTTAAGATCGACTAGAAAATTAATTTAATTATTTTCTTTTGCTATTGCGATCTTTCGATCGGTTAAAGAAATGAATTAAAAATGTTTATTACATACTAGCTGTCGCTCGCGACTCCGTTATTGCGAAATTAAAAAAAAAAAACTTAATAAGTACCATATGTGTTTTATCTGACTATGCTCTACATGCATGCCAAATTTCATTAAGATCCGTTATCCGTTTCGGAGATTTCAAGCAAACATCCATCCATCTAAACGTTCGCATTTATAATATTAGTTTTTGACATTATTAATTACAATCCTTTGGCGCGAATGACGTGCTTTTGTTACAAAGTCCTGTGTCAGAATGAATAGTGAGGGGACATAAACGTTGACATTTTAGTAAGGCTACTGTCGAGTCAATACACTGCCACATACTCGGATCCTCTTCCTAACATTAGTAAGATTTGTAATCCCTGTGGGGTTTTTAGTACTGCTGACTAATCGAAAATGTATTCGTTCTGACAATTTTTTTATAATAAAAATAAATCGCGTATTAAAAAGCGCTTGGAGATTGTAAATTGGTTTCGTGTGAAATACCTTAATCATATTATAAATGGTTACGGAAATTTATTTTCGCAAGTAATAAAAAAAAATGTTCCATTAACTAGTTTTGCTGTTTTTCTTTGAAGTTCACCGGCTGTAAGTCGTTTAGTCTGTCGCTACGTTAAGACTTTTTCTTATGAATATTTTTTTTGTATCAATTTCTATGTAAAATGATTTTTCCTGCTGTCACGTTTTCATGTTAGTGTATAATTTTAGTGATATGAGGTCAATGATCTACAACATTAATTTTACGTCCAATATATTATTCGTAGTATAAATAAATGTATAAAAATCACATTATTTGATATAAAATAACATATTAATGATAAATCTTTTAATACCACGCAAACATATACAAAGATCTCATAAATTTTATAGTTTTTTTATAGGAAATTGTAGTTACTTCTATCTACAATTTTCTACAAAAAACTACAAAATTTATGAGACCTTTGTATATGTTTGCGTCGTATCAAAACTCCTTATGACTAGAACTAAAGTAAAAAAGTACTACAATGACATTAGTTTATGGTCCTTTAATTAGACCCTAATTTTTTTATAGCTTATGGTGTCAAACGATCTAACTGCCACCTAAATTCTGTAAAATAGCAAAGCGAATGATGTCATTAGACATTTAAAGAAACTTAATATTTTCTCACTTTTTTCACTGTATAATTGCGAAAGTTTAGATGGATTATTGGATGGGTGGATGTTTGTTTGAAGATATCTCCGGAACGGCTCAACGGAGCAACGCAGATGTAATTTGGAATAGATTTAGAAAATAGCCTAGAATAATATAATACATAGGTTACTCATTAGGTATTCTTTTAATTCCAGGCGCACGGAGTCGCGGGCGACAGCTAGTTTAAATATATTTTATTCACAACCGCTAACGGACTTTAAAATTAGTTCTTGTTATCTGACTTCCTGGTACATCGCGTCGTTTCAGGATTCCCTGAAGCATAAGTACTTCAGAGCTAACTTCATCTCTTTGTCTTGTCCTGGAAAGTTCCTGCGTCAGAGTATGATTTACTAATGTTTCGGG